TCTTTCCCCTTTCTGTCCCCCCCCCCCCCCCCCCTTTTTACAGTCGTGTAAGCATTTCACTGCATATCATACTGTGTACAATTATGTATGTGACTAATAAAATACAAAGTAAAAATAAATAAAATAAAATCTGACTCACCAGTTTCATTGATGCTAAATGTGCGTTCATCAAATGTAACATTTTCACTAACAAGGCGTATGTAATAATTCCACAGAACCGACGTGTGTTTCTTGCTGAAATAACAGCTGTTTCCACTAGCAGACTCGGTGTTGGGGCAGTCAGTCCATTGTTGGCCACTACAGGGGGAATATATATGAGGCATTCAGACACAGATTTACAAAACCAGATCCTGCATGCACTTGATTTGTGCAGCCTAATACTCAACCCACCGCTGCCACTGCCCTACCAATATGGTTGCCTCCACACATAGGCAGTGCAGAACAAGGCATGGTAAGTCAGTAAATTGAAAAAGATCAGCTGCAGAGAAACCACAGGCAATACTGGTGACTCTTGCTTTGCCCTCTGCCTGCCTTTTTGTAAGTTACAGTTTTCAGAGTTTGGTTTCTCAAATTTTCTTCTGATGTTTATGTTTCACATGTTTGCTGCCCATTATTCCGCATTACATTTTTACATGATTTATACATTTTGCTACCAGTTCATTGCATTTTTAAATTTTTTGCACTAATAGGCCAACTCAATGCTCCTTGCTCCCCCTTTTCGGCAAACGTTCCTCAGGCTGTATTTACGCTTTTTGTTTTTTTATACTTACCTTTTCCATATGTTTTCTGGCCAATCATGTTATGCCACAAGGCCCTCTTCCTCTTCGCCTCTTCTCCAGGCTGGACATCTCTCATAATGCATGGAACGCTGATGCGATCATTGCATTTTTCCACTGCATTCAATCGGTGCAATCCTGATCCTATCTCTTATCTCGATCTAAACCACAATTTTTATTTGCTTTACAATTTTGACAAAAACTGTCAAAAGCAAAATTGGATCGCTCTATCAAATTTATACATGTTTGTCCAGCTTGTCAGGACCTGAACCTTAGAAGATGTGCAGAAAAATACAAATAGAGGACTGTTGAGGACTAGTCACCTGTATTGCCTACCTCTATTATTGTCTATCTGCGAGCTGGTCATCTTGGTAGAAGAGAAAATCTTTTAGCCCTCGTGGCTAGTATGATGTTCAAGAAGAAGCAGTAGAGGTGTAGGAAGCACAGATCCACAGATTGAATGGAGCAGAAGCAGGGAGAACCTAGCACTGTCGATCCTTAGGTATATTTTTTTATCCAGTAATATTAACAGTAAGCACCACAGTAGTGAAATCACCATATTTCACTCTAAATACCATGAGCTTAGCACACAGGGGTAGCAGTGAGTTAGATCAGGGCTGGACAAATCCAAGAAGCCCGGTAGCCGACGCTCCTGGCAAATTACAGTTGATGCCTAACTTTTGAGGTTTACTCTAGTTATAGTCAATGGAGCTGGCTTCTAAAAAATTCTGTTGGCTCCTTGATTGGACAGATTGACTCCTGAATTCCATATTAATATGTCCACCCCTGCCTTAGATGATCTCACAGAGTAGATATACACTCACCGGCCACTTTATTAGGTACACATGTTCAATTGCTTGGTAACACAAATTGCTAATCAGCCAATCATATGGCAGCGACTCAATGCATTTAGGCATCTAGACGACCGAGCATCAGAATGGGGAAGCAATCGGATTTACGTGACTTTGAACGTGGCATGGTTGTTGGTGCCAGACAGGCTGGTCTGAGTATTTAAAAAACTGCTGATATACTGGGATTTTCACTTACAACCATCTCTAGGGCTTACAGAGAATGGTCCGGAAAAGAGAAAATATCCAGTGAGCGGTAGTTGTGTGGATGAAGATGCCTTGTTGATGTCAGAGGTCAGAGGAGAATGAGCAGACTGGTACGAGATGATAGAAAGGCAACAGTAACTCACATAACCACTCGTTACATCCGAGGTATGCAGAAGAGCATCTAAGTGCAAAACATGTCAAACCTTGAAGCAGATGGGCTACAGCAGCAGAAGACCACACCGGGTGCCACTCCTGTCAGCTAAGAACAGGAAAGGGATGCTACAATTCGCACAGGCTTACCAAAATTGGACAATAGAAGATTGGAAAAACGTTGTCTAGTCTGATGAGTCTTGATTTCAGCTGCAACATTCAGATGGTAGGGTCTGAATTTGGAATAAACAACACAAAAGCATAGATCCATCCTGCCTTGTATCAACGGCCCAGGCTGGTTGTGCTGGTGTAATGGTGTGGGGGATATTTTCTTGACACACTTTGGGCCCATGATACTATCATGTCAATATGGACCAAAATATGTGAGGAATGTTTCCAACACCTTGTGGATTCTATGCCACGAAGAATTAAGGCAGTTCTGAAGGCAAAAGGGGGTCCAGCCCGGTACTAGCACGGTGTACCTAATAAAGTGGCCGGTGAGTGTATAGATATGAAGCTCCAGGCATGGGTGTACACTGCTATTTCTCAGCAGGAATTTAATTGTTTTCAGGGTACTGCTTAGGCATAATAAACATTTCTAGATGTTCCCCATAACATCGTGAAAGGTCACTTTTTGATTTTAGGACTACTTTGAGGACTAAGGTTCACAGGCACTTTCGATCCGTGTGAGGTCAGTTGAAGATCAGTTTGAGGCAATATGGCGAGCAGGTTGAGGTCAGTTCGAGCTTAGATATTGGAATATCCAATTCCTGTTTCAAACGATGCATTCAGTATCCTTCTACAAATTGAATCCAAAATGAATTCCAAAAACTCTAAAAATTACAAACTGTGCACTCATCCTGTAACAATCCCTCTAAAACAAGTACAAAAAAAGATATGATACCTTATTCTATACTGGAACTTTATCGAGGTGGACAAGTTTCGAAAATCTCCATAAGTCCAGTAACATGTGAATGTCTCAAGCTGTGGCGATCGGCAGTGCGTGATTCTGGGCCTTCCTGAAGTATCTGAAAAAAAGAAACAGGGTTAATTAAATTGTTGTGAACAGGAAGCAGACATCCACTAACACATTGCTCTCAGCGTTTTCTACATTACAATCTTTTTTATAAAGTAACACCACTTCACAGCTAGCTATACCTATCTATCTAAAATTCCTAAGGCTGCTGGTGATTTTGTTAACCTGGATCCAATAACGCGTGCTGTGTGTATGTAGGAAAACAATATTATTTTACTTACTTAGCATGAAAATCAATTACTGACACTTCTGGAGGTCACAACAGGAGCTGTGATTTGCGAACTGCCTGTGCCTGGGGCTGCAAAGGTACAATTGGCAAGTTTCAAGAAACACTCCTGTAATGTACTTATTGATCTATTCCAGACAATTCTTTTAATTCTATCTATCCTCCGAGCTGCTCATATTGCAGAGATATGGTGCAAATCTTTGGCTTCACACAGTAGCAGTGCAGTAACGGGTGCATTACTGCAATGCAGAGTAACCTGCATCAAATGCATAAGTAGAATGCAGTGCCATTCTTTCTTAAAGCTGAACCCCAGCCAAACAGCTATACACAGATGGAAACCAGAGAATAACGCAGAGAGGACCAAAACATGAAACATGTGAGATGAGATTGCTCTTTTGGTCTGGGGAGCTTGGTGTGATGTACACTTGATTTTGCATCAATAAACACAGGATTCATCGCTTGTATTTTGTGGAGTGCGGTTATTCTCTGGTTTCCGTTCATCCATGGTGACCACACACTTTACAACCTGCACCTGCATGGGAGATACAACGTGAGCTGGGCTGCAGAATCGGAGCGGTGAGGATTTTTTACAAAGCTATATGCAGATGATATAGATACTGTAGAAGGTGAAACAGCTATCATATATATGTATATATATATGATAGCTGTTTCACCTACCAAAGGATTAGGATTTCTGTCCATCCAGTCCTAAAATGTACACAGCCCTGCCACAAAGGCACCGTCCTGTCTGGCAGAGGAGGAGACCTGAGCTTTTTTTGGCTGCAGTTTCACTTTCATTTACAAGTCTCCTTCCCACCCTGTGATTGAAAGTAGAAACAGCACACTAATAAGCTCATCTCTAGCTCTTTGCACTGCTGGACACCTAACTGGTTCCTTGTACTGCTTCTCCAACACCCTTTCTAAGCTGTGCTGTACAGGTATTGCAAGAGGCAGGTACCAAGTCAACTTTAGGTACTTACACTGCTTGCATTTAAAAAAAAAAATATCATGTATTAATGCATACAGAGTTGCATGTGTTTATTATATCTGCCTGGAGTTCAGCATTTATTGGCACCCGACCCCAACACAACTTGCCAACGTGCCTGTGTGGCAGTGCACAGCTATGCACAAGAGAATACTATTATGCATTGCATTGCACAAACCAGTGCATGTCTGATTTTTAGTGCAGTCTGGTGCAACCCAGACATAAGTTAAAACTTCTGTCAAGTCTTTATTGCTGCCTGGAGTGAAGTGGATGGAGCCGGGCTTTAAGGGTGCAAAATGGGGCAGTCAGGGCTTGTTCACACCAAATCCAGACCAGACCTGGATGAGTTTCTGCATATGCAGTGCAGCGCGTTTTGATGCGTTTTTTATGGGTTCTGGTCCTTTTTTTTTGCCTAAAATGGGCTAAAATAGCCTACAATTTAGGTGTAGTCCAGTGAGTTCCAGTTTTTCCACATTGACTGGAACTGAACGCTGTGGTGTGAACTAGAGCCCAAAATACCATTGGAATACATTGGATGCATTTTTGATGTATTCTTAAACTGCTCTGCTCTGCATCTGCTCCGCACTTGGTGTGAACAAGCCCTCAGGGTGGGTTTTGGTTAGATAGAGTGCTAGGTTTACCTAAAACATGAAATCCTGCAAATGTAAACATTTTCTTTTCTCATTCTATTTAAGAACATTTCCCCAGAAACCTCTTCAGTTCTGTCAATTATGATTTCTAGAAAAAAACATTTTACAGTTGTCTTCAAACAGAAGAGTTAATTACAGAAAGAATAAAGAAATCATGTTTTGCATTGTTTTGATTATGTATGTTCCCTGCCCCCAAAATCTGGAAATATTTGTATATATGGTAATAGCCATCCAATTTGTGTCTGCATGAGATCAAATTTTTTCAAACAATAGAACATAATTTCTATATTTAACACAATCATCATTTATGGAAATCTCCCAATTACATAGACATGAGATTACAGTTTTCCAATCCCACTTTTTGGCTAAATATCACGGATGACATAACGCCAGCAGACACTGTCAGCCAAGCCTTGCCAAGGTGACTGCGCATGTAGGAAAACTTTGCTTGATCACTATTGTTTTTCCCCGCCATTCTCTAAACACAAGTGGCCACATGATGGATCATTTCATTTTCCATGTTCAGGTCCATGATGGACCTGAACATGGTCAGATTATGGCTGTATATTCAACCCAAGTGTCTATAGCGGAACTCACTGACATTTATTGATTAATGTCCAGGAGGGTAAACTGAAAATCTCTTCTATCAAGAGTATGCTGTTACACAGGTAAAATAAGTTACTTTGAAGGAGCCTCGTAAATGTGGTCAAAACAGTGTAGCCTTAGAACTGAAGCAAAACTATCTTCATTCTGCAATGAAGGGGTAATATTTATCACTGAATCTCTTGCACAGCTTTCACCAGTGGCCAATTGAACAAAATTTAGCAACAATTTTGTTAAAATATCTTTCAGTTTCTTTGGACAGAATATGGTCACATGACCCCAATAAGCCCATCTCTGGTTGTTTTGGGGTTACTCTGGACTTAGCACAAGGTGCGGCAACATCGCCGAGATCACATGTAAACGAACAATCGGCTTCCTTCACACTACATTTAGTCCTGCTTGTGCAAAGCAGGACTAAATGTATAGAGGGCAACTTACCGCCCGGCGCCCGAAACTTCCCCACAAGAACACCGCTGCCGCCCCTCTCTGCAGTGCTGCCCCGAGGCCGGGCCCCGGTGGCCTTGTGGGGAATCTGGGCCTGCATGTAGCCAACTTCGAAAAAGGTGATGACAACCATATTAGAGTACCTTCCTCTAGCGCCTGTCTTCAATAGAAGTAATTTAACATTATTCTCTATTTTATCAGTTATCAAACATAACATTTCCAACCTTTTATATAATAGAAGGAGAATATTTTACGTTTGTCAGCTAATCAGATCTATGCAGAATTCCCTGAGAAAAAAAACAACATTTTTGTTGACTGCAAAATCAAAGTTTAAATTTCTTTCCTGTATATCTGTCCATGCATGAATGATAACAGCAGATTAATTTGAAAGAAATGGTTAGCCTTCTGTAAAAAGGCCAAGCAAAAGGCAATTATTATGCACATACACTGGAACCAATCAGATTACATCTTACTGTAGTTTGCTAATGACTAACCAATGAATTCCAATTACATGCCACCGGGATGCAACACATAACTCTTTATTTAATTAAATAAATCAGTAGTTCTGCTGTATTGTGCTAGCAGAAGGTATACCATTTACAAGTTCCCTTTTATAGTTCCCCTTTATGGTTTTGTAAATCTTCTACACACATGAGTTACAGCATGAGTAAAAGGTTCATATTAAACGAACAGCATGCTGCGTGATTAATGATGTCCCACATATAAAGCTTCTACAAGTCATTCTTGACATTAATTGCCTGGCAACAGTTTAGGTGGAAAAGCTTCATGTTATGCATGTTGGATATTGGACGGCAGGGTTATTGCTGCTTAAACCCACGCAAACTCCATGAGATTTATAAACAGATTGTATGGCTGGCTGTTATCTGGTTCACTGTTTATTCCAAATGGGAGTAAACAGCTCACACAAATAGATTGGTTTGCCTTCAAAAGCTTTTAAAATGTGAACTCATGCCTTGCCCATACAGGTTTCATTTTTTATTAGCAACCTTTCTGTGTAAACTCCTCTTCTCTTGGAAACCCCGGTGCTCCTTAACCTCCCTGGCGGTATGATTTTTATTTTTTTTCATGTCATTTTTCGGTCTATTTTTTTTCCGAATGTTTCTCATCTTTGTGGTTTTTTTAAATGTATCTTTTTTAATATCCCGCCGGTTCTTCCCCCCTGCGACGCGTACGCTCGCAAGCGATGGAACCCGGGAGACGGAAGCCGGCATCGGCCGCAGAACACAGTGCGGCTCGAAGGACAAGGTAAGTAAATGCTATACAGCTTTCCCGAGTGTAGCTTGGGGTTACCGCTTATGGTATGGAAAAGTAACCCCGAGCTACACTCGGGAATACCACCAGGGAGGTTAAAGTGACACTAAATTTGGGAGTTAAATCTTTAAAATGCATTCAGGTACCGTAACTATTAACAAAATGTATCTTATTTGTGTATCACTCAGCTGTAGATCCTCAAATCATCTCTGAATTTGTGCCGACACTGTCCTTCCTTCTAGAGGGTGGCTACTTTTGTTCCCCATGATCCCTGTGTGTGCGGTAACGTCCCTGTGTGTGCCTCAGGGACCAGGAAACACTCCAAGCCCACTCCTGTGATGGACTACAATCTCATGTTTAGTTTAATAATTTGTATTGAGATTGTAGTCCATCATGGGACAGCTTTTGGAGCAGTGACTACTTTACAATACACACAGGGACAATGAGGAACAAAAGTAGCCACCCTCCAGAAGGAAGGACAGTGTCAGCACCAATTCAGAGATGATTTGAGGATCTACAGCCGAGTGATACACAAATAAGATACATTTATATTAATAGGTAAGGTACTTAAATGCATTTTTAAGATTTAACTCCTGATTTTAGCGTCACTTTAAGCCCACTGAAGCCCCATAAAATGTCTTCTATTAAGTATAGGGGAGCATCTCCTCTTCCTCCCATGATGCAGCAATGGATGTCTGACTGGCCAATTACTATGCCTGAGCACTGTCACCAGGGGGCAAGAAGAGAGTCCTTGGCCCCTGTGTAAACTCTGATGACAATGACCAGAAATCTGCACAGGGCTCTTCGCTCTT